TCGCATCCAGACTGGCCCTACGCCGGAGGCAAACCCCATGCAGATCCTGGTGGGGTGGCCCTGCATCGTAAATGTTGGGAATACACGGTTACAGACCCTATTCCTACCTCTTCCTTCTCCTTGATACATCTAGCCCATAGACACCGGAAAAACATGAAACTATCACTTTGGGAAGGAGGTTGTGAGTCAGCCCAAGAAACCATTAATATGCAAGACTAAATTAGAAATCTAGAAATATTATTTTATTTCTTTGGCTGGATCCTTCCACTCTCAAATTATGTTAAATAACAGTTTTTAATACACAGCAAAGTATAAATGAACATGAAATGCTGCTCACTTCAGCTTTGGCTTTAGAAATGACATCAGAATGAGTGGTACTGAACAAAGCATCATTGAGGATAGTCTTATTTGTAAACTAGCATGTTCTGAACCGTCAGTTGAGTTAAAACCTGACAAGTTCCCAAAGGCCGAAATCAAGTCAGAACAGACATCAGCCTAGGTCAGAAAACCCTCTTTAATCAAAACTCCAAGGATGCATATCCTGAAGGGGCTCACATTCCTAGAAAACAATGCAAAGAAGAACCAATTGCACAATCCTTGTGTGGGTTTGGGTGTAGGTGTGATGCTGCCTAAATTTAGGGGCTGAATATCTTGACCAAGAGACTCAGAGATGCTTCCTCTTAATGAGGCGTGAGGAGAGAACACAGCTTTTAGTATGATCTCACCAGGAGATAAATCATGACAGCTGGTGGCTAAAACACAAGCTTTGTGGCAAAGCGGTAGGAAAGCCAGACCTACACATTCTCTCCATTTGCCACTTGGCAGTGTGTTCTGCACACATTTGCTGACAAACAGGAAGGGCGACAACTGCCTCTGTGTTGAACAGGTCACAGAGCAATTGGGTGCTGGGCATAGATTAGAGCAATTGTCTTCACACAACAGCAGAGAACATAGGGTATTTAGTAAGGTTTCCTGAGCTCAGATCCTTGCCCTGTGTGACCTTAGACTACTTAGTTAGCTCCCCAGATGCTCAGATTTTCCATCCCTAAAATGGGCACAACAATAGCACCTTTCTTTTGGGTCACTTTAAACATTGTGTAATTAGTGCTGTTGATGTATTGAACACAGTGCTTTGCTCCTAGTAACTGTCATTAAATGTTATCTATAAATATGGATGGTGACTGCAGCCATGAAATTAAAAGATGCATGCTCCTTGTAAGAAAAGCTGTGACAGACCTAGACAGTGCATTAAAAAAGCAGAGGCATCACTTTGCCAACAAAGGTCCAGATAGCCAAAGTTATGGTTTTTCCAGTAGTCATGTACAGATGTGAGAGCTGAACTATAGAGAAGGCTGAGCACCAAAGAACTGATGCTTTCAAACTGTGGTGCTAGAGAAGACTCTTGAAAGTCACTTGGACAGCAAGGAGGTGAAGCCAGTCAATCCTAAAGGAAATCAAGCCTGAATATTCATTGGAAGGACTGACGCTGAAGCCAAATTTCCAATACTTTGTCTACCTGATGGAAAAGCCAACTCATTGGGAAAGACCCTGATGCTGGGAAAGATTGAAGGCAGGAGGAGAAGGGGACAACAGAGGATGAGATGGTTGGATGGCATCTCTGACTCAAGGGACATGAGTTTAAGCAAGCTCCAGAAGATGGTGAAGGACAGGGAAGCCCGGCATGCTGGAGTCCATCGGGTTGCAAAGAGTTGGACACAACTTAGTGACTGAACAACAACAAATGACTATGGTTAATAATTCAATCAGTATATACCTGTTGTCCAGCTATCATCAGAAGAGACAGCAGACAAAGAGATGCGTGTCTTCTGGCAGGCGCTGGAGGCTGGTCTTAGGGGAGCACCCTGGGAAGGGGCAGTTCCTAGACTTGCGGTTCTGAGACTTAGCATATGTGAACCTCTCCCAGGGCCTCACCAAGAACAGGCCAGAAACAACCACTTCATGCCTAATCCGATCGTGGGTCCATCCCATCTCTGTTGGTTCCTATCCTGGCTCCTGCCAACAGACTCTCGAGTTTAGAGGCAGTATAAATCCTAGACCCTTTCCACCTCTTGAGAATTCCTGTGAATCAGAACCCCTGACCTGCATGTCTTCTTTGACTGTTATTTCCTGACATCTCTTTGTGGATCCTGTGCCTTGGGTGAAGGTCTGGTGGTTACTCAGGTGGAATTAGGCCTGGCAGGGAGCAATAGATTAGCTACAGGAGCTCTTTTCAAGAGCTCCTTGTTAAAAGAATAGGCTACAGAATGAGAGGGCTCAAGTCTCTGAAGACACATTGAAGCCACTTCCCAATACTTCCTGTGGTTGGCCTCACGCATCAATTATTACTTTGGAAAAAATATACTGTGATATTTTAAAAGAAGGATTAACACTCTTCAAGGGGCTTCCCAGGTGGTGCTAGTGTTAGAGAACCCATCTGCCAGTATAGGAGATGTAAGAGACATGGGTTTGATCCCTGGGTCAGGAAGATCCCCTGGAGGAAGACATGGCAACCCAGTCCAGTATTCTTGCCTGGAGAATCCCATGGACAGAGGAGCCTGGCAGGCTACAGTCCATGGGGTTGCAAAGAGTCAGACACAACTGAGCAACTTTCACTTTCAACAAGGTCCTATTGTAAAGCACAGGGAACTATATCCACTATTCTGTAATAAGCCACAATGAAAAAGAATATGTACACATATACATAACTGAATCATTTTGCTGTATAACAGGGACTAACACAACTCTATAAATCAACTATACTTAGATTTAAAAAGGAGAGTGTGAAAGAATGACCCAAAGGAGAAAACATTTCCAAATCATATATATGACAAGAGATTTATATGTAGACTATATAAAGAACTTTCACAGCTCAAAAATATAAAGGCAAACAACCTAACTTTCAAAATAGGCAAAGAACTTGAATCACACTTCTCCAAAGAAGATATACTAATAGCAAAAGAAAAGAAAAAAAAAACACATGAAAAGTTTTTCAACATCATGTCATTAGGGAAATGAAAATCAAAACCTCAGTGAGATAACATTTCATACCCACTAGGATGGCTAGAATCAAAGACAGATATTAACACATGTTGCTGAGGACATGGAGAAACTGGGACCCTCATTCATTGCTGGTGGGACTGGAAAATGGAGCAACCACTTTGTAAAAACCATTTGGCAGTTTCTCTTAGGGTTGAACCCAGAGTTATCATATGGTCAGCAATTCCACTCCTAGAAATACATGAAAAATGAAAACATGTCCACACAAAAACTTTTACAGTTGACCCTTGAATGCCATGAATTTAAACTCTTTCTTTGAGATTTTTTTTCAATAGTAAACGCTACAGTACTACACAATTCACAGTTGATTGAATCCTTGATACAAAGGCTCGGATACAGAGTACCCTCCCTCATATGTGGAGGGCCAACTATAAATTATACTCAAATTTCCCACCGTGAGAAGGGTTGGTAACCCTAGGACCCACATTATGTGTTATTTAAGGGCCATCTCTATATGAATGTTCATAGAAGTATTATTCATGATAGATAAAAAGTGAGACCACTTACATGTTTATAAACAAAATGTGGGCTTCCAGGCACAGGAATCTTATTTTACCATAAAAAGGAATGACATTCTGTCATACACTACAACATGGGTGAACCTTGAACATAATAAGTCAAAGAAGCTAGACACAAAAGGCCATATTATTTCAGGAGTGCATTTCTACGAAATGTCCTAAGTAGGTAGTAGACCCATAGAGACATAAAGGTGAGTGATTCTGAGGGGGGTGAGGAGAGGGGGGAGCAGGGAAAAAATGCTTACAGATACAGGGTTTACTTGGGGGTGAGAACCATGCTATGAATTTAGGTAGTGGGAATGGCTGGGCACCTCTGCGTATAGCCAGACAACTCTACGATCACTGGATTGTGTATTTGGCATGGGAATTCTATCTCAGTAAAAATCAAAGACTCCACATCAATGTGTTTTTAAGTTACTATTGTCAGTTAATGATCTCAGGTGAAATACATTCTGTTTAAATAACTTACCATCCTAAAAGGTTAAATCTCAGCCTGAAGCCAATGTGAGACCTCATGGGGAGACAGTGAAGTCCGGAGCCTGGGCTTCTGCTAAGGACACCAGTGACATAGAGCAAGGCCCCACCCTCATGAGCTCACTGAATCTGCAGCACCCTCTGAAAGGCCCCATTCCCAAACACAGTTTCACTGGGGACTAAGGCTTCAACCTGGATTTCAAGGAGACAATTCAGTCCATATTATACTCAAAGTAAATATGCAGTTCCGTATCTAAATTGGTGTTAATCATGTGGTATGCTATTTTTTCTTTTTTAGTATTTGTTACCCTTACTTTCGATGTAGTTTACTTACTTGTGTACAATTTTCCTCCTGGTGTATAGGTGATTTACAGTGGTCCAGGTGTGTAGCAAAGGGACTGTTACATATATTCATACGTGTATCTATCCTTTCTCAGGTTCTTTTCCATTGTAATTTACTACAAGATACCAAGATACTGACTATAGCTCCCTGTGCTGGTAGGCTTTTTTTTTTCTTTTTCAGTATTTATTACCCTTACTTTTAATGTAATTTACTTGTTAGTTCACATAATTAAAGTTTTTATTGACTTATAGCTGATTTACAGTGTCTTGGGTGTACAGCAAAGTGACTCAGTTACACACATACATAAATCCGTTCTTTTTCAGATTCTTTTCCACTATAGGTTATTACAAGATACAGACCATATTTCCCTGTTGTTGTTCAGTCACTCGTGTCTGACTCCTTGTGGCCCCATGGACTCTGGCACGCCAGGCTTCCCTGTCCTTCACCATCTCCCAGAGCTTGCTCAAATTCATGTCCATTAAGTCAGTGATGCCATTCAACCATCTTGTCCTCTGTTGTCCCCTTCTCCTCCTGCCTTCAATCTTTCCCAACATCAGGGTCTTTTTCTAATGAATCGGCTCTTTGCATCAGGTGGCCAAAGTATTGGAGCTTCAGCTTCAGCATCAGTCCTTGCAATGAATATTCAGGGATGATTTCCTTTAGTTCCTGTGTTGTATTAAACACATAGCTCCCTGTGTTATATTAAAATTGCATTATCAGACCTGGAAAACCTGGATTTGCCTCTGAAGACTTTTATTTCACAGAGGCAGAAACCAAAGTTCAGAAGGAGAAATGACTCACCTTTAGTGATTTAACTGAGTTAGGGTTAAGGTTAGTATACTTGACTCTAAACCCTAGCTTCCCAGTTGGCACTAGTGGTAAAGAATCACCTGATAATGCAGGATGAGACACAACCCAGACATTCTCCCTGGGTTGGGAAGATCCCCTGGAGGTGGGCATGGCAACTCACTCCAGTTCTTGCCTGGAGAATCCCATGGACAGAGGAGCCTGGCAGGCTACAGTCCACAGGTCTGAAAGAGTTGGATGTGACTGAAGAAACTTGGCAGCACATTCACTCCCTGGGGTAGCAGCCCCTGACTCTCTGGGAAGTTGTTGGAAATGAAGACTCTCTGGAACATTGGAGCAGGAGTTGCATTTTAACACAATTCCCAGGAGCATCCTGGGTGTATTCTAGTTTGGGAAGCGCCACTCTAAGCTGAGCTGCCTCCTAAAGAGTTTGTCTCATGCACTTTCTTCTTCTTTTCCTCAAAAGGGATGCGGAGTAGCTGGGGGGACTTTGGGTATTCCAGGCACCCTGCCGGGAGGCCAGGACTAACTGCATGGGTGGAGTGGGCACTGCGGGCTTTTCCTGCCAAGGGGAAGGGAGCTCTGGGTGCAGACATAGCAGTAGAGCAGGGAGGTGGTGTCAGGGCAAGGAAGGGGAGACCCCGAGGTGGCCTCGCACTCAGCGTCACAGCAGTAGGGCCAGCACCCGCTCCTTGCATCCAGAGCTGCCTCGTGGCCATCCGGAGCCAGAGCTGGGAGCTAGTGACAGCTGGCACGGCCATGCCAAGCACGGTGCGCAGCCTCAGAGCAGGTGCTCAGCCATGCCCCCTGCAGCAAAGCAGCAGAGGTGCAGAAATACTTAGGAAGGTGAGATGGGGTGGCTGCCCCAAGGTGCGGGGGCCCACCCCCAACCCTGCCTTCAGCAACCTCTTGATGGGTGATGGCAGTTTGAGAAACGCCAGGGTGGGAGCAGTCATGACAAAATTTGACGAAGCCTTCAAATTTGGGGTGCTTTATTTTTTTGCCATTTTAAAAGATTTATCAGCACACCCCTGGATATTTACAATGCCCCGAATAAGACATTAAATGACAGTTAATACCTGCAAAGGTTCTAATTTATTCAGGGAAACTTCACAGACTATGCAGGAACAGAGCAGCAGGGAAACCCGCTCCCCCTGCACGCAAGTGTACATTTGCTATAGAAGCTCCATAAGCAAACTCAGGAGCGTGTCCTGCTCAGGGGGCCTCAGGGGCAGCGCCACTGCCCGCAGACGCTTAGCCCGCACCTATTGCGGTTCCCACGCTGTGTCTGGAAGCGTTAAGCCTCTGCCTGGTTCTTCAGTCTGGCTCCAATGCAAAGTGGTCAGCTGGCTCCCCTCCTCACACAATGACTGGCATATGGCAGATACTGCAAAGTATCCTTTGAACTGGGGCTTCCCTGGTGGCTAAGATGGTGAAGAATCTGCATGCAGTGCAGACCTGGGTTTGATCCCTGGGTTGGGGAGATCTCCTGGAGAAAGGAATGGCTTCCCACGCTAGTATTCTTGCCTGGAGAATTCCATTGACAGAGCAGCCTGGTGGGCCACAGTCCATGGGGTCGCAAAGAGCTGGACAGGATTGAGTGACTAACACACCACAGCAGCAGCATTCTGTGAGCTGCACAATTTTGGACCGCATCTCCACACAGGTGGGTTTGCCAGGACCCCCCCAGTAAAGGAAGTTTGGGTTGCAAACAGAACCGGTTCCCCACCTCCCAGGCTCTGTGCTCCTCCTCCACAGCTGACCCAGGAGGCTGCCAGGCTGGCCCAACTCTCCCCTAAAGCCTTGGGCGCGCAGCCCACCATTCCTGGGGCAAGTCTGATCCTGCCCCCGCCTCCTCATGACATCTCTCACCAGTCCTCACCCTTCACCCACTCCTGGTTAAATACATGTGCTGGTAGGGTTTCAGGGTCTGAGATGCCTGGTGGCCCTCCTGGAATCAGAGGTGTCCAGATCTCTGGGTCCTTCTGGGCCTTTATTCTAGAGCAATATGAACATCAGATTGGAGGTGGGACACTGCCTCCTTCTATTCACCTTTTTCGGATGCTTACTGGCTCCCTGAGAAACAGCTACCTGCTTTGACCCACTTCTCCACTGGGAACACTGGGCTATTCCTCCTGCCTCCCCCCTCCCCCAGTTCCTCCCGCAGCCTTTCCAGGCCTTCCAGTGAGCTGCACTCCCTCCTGCACCCTCAGCAGGATCCAGACAGGGATCTCTAGCCTCTCCCAGGCTGCCCTTTCTTACCTGGCTTCCAGAGTAAGGAGGGACTCCAGAGATCCTGAGGAGGAGTCCTTGATCCCCACACCTAGAGGGGGAAGGATTAGGAGAGATTCATTTATTCAGTGCACCCTGCATTTATCAGGCATCCCATCTACCTGCCAGACTCTGTCCTAAATGCTGGGAGTTCAATGATATACGAAACAGACAAAGGCCCAACACTCACTGAGATCACATTCTAGGGGAGAAGACAGAGGGCCAGACAAGGACAAAACGTGCCAAATATGACATACATATTTATATTCCATTGATTTATAATGTTCGCACCTGTAAGTGTTTACTTATAGAAGCAAAATTTAATCTATAATGAAAACATAAACAGCTATTTGTAAATACAAATATTTAAAATGAGCAAACAACAAATCTATATTAAAAATATATGCTATATACAAATAGATAAATGCTTAGAAGAAAAATAACTCAGGACATGCAGAGCAAAACTAAGTCTGTATTTCACACAGCGTGCTCCTGGACGGCTTGCCTGGGGAGGTGGCATCTGAGCGCGGACCACAGGGTGGAACTGGAAATGACACCGCAGAGCATCCTAGGCAGATGCCTGAGATGCGCAGAATGGGAAGGCAGAGCTGCAGCGTGCTGGGCTGTGTGGCTGTGCACTCCGGGTGGGCACCCAGGTCTGAGTACCTAAGGCCTTTTAAGTCCCAGCAAGGATTTCCCATTCTGTATCTGGACTGGTCTCTCCTCTTCCTTAAGGGAAAAGCTGGAGGGCAGCTGGAGGAAGGCTCAGGCAGGCCTCTGGATTCCTCATCCCAGTTTTAGACTCAAAGGAACGCCTCCTCTAACACCCATAACTGCAGGCTCACTTACTTATATTTTATTCTAGTCCTTGGAACCCCACGAAAGAGTCATTTTTGTAAATCAGACTTTTGCACTCGCCCAGATCCCTTTTGTGGCTTCGGGGCGGGTCAGAAGGAGTGTGGGGTGAAGCTCGGAAGATGTGGGGTCTCTGGCTGGCTTGCTCTGGGCCCCACGTGGGCTGCCTGTGCTGGCGTTTCTGCCTGCGGCCCCTCGAATCCATCACGAGCAGCGCGACCGCAGCGCCGCTCTACCAACCAGGCAAACTCGAGCCTACGTCCACCTGAGCTCTCAGGAGCAAGGCTGGGCCGGCTCCAGGCCCACAGCTTTCAATACCTGACCGGGTGGAGCCCGAACTTGCCTTTCTAACAGGTTCCCAGGTGCGGCAGGTCAGGAACGCACGTAGAGACCCACCGCACCAGAGCCGCTGCCCGGAAGGAGGTTCTGGGTTCCAGGGCGGCGAGGCTGACACCACTCACTCCTAATGCTCCGACCTCTGTCCTCCAGTCGGTCCTCCCACCGAGGCTGCCAGGTGCTTCACCCTCCGCAGCTCCTCCCCGCCGCCGCGCGGCGCGCTCCGGGACCCCCACGCGCCAGGAGACCCGTGCCCTCCCTCCCCGGAGCAGAGGCCCGGGGAAGCGGGAGGCGGAGAACCGGGTTATCTTCCCCGGCCGGGCTGCCGCCCGGCCCCCGCCCTAAACGCGCGCCGCTGGCAGAGCCGGCCGCTTCGGCGCCCGCGCGGCGAGCACTCGGGACGGGGCGCTCCTTTCGGGGCCGCGAGCACGCGCCCGGCGGGGGAAGGGAGTTGTGTACTTTGGGCGCTCAGGTCGTTGCCCGGGTAACAGTGTCAGTCCGCGGCCCCGGCGCTTTTCGCGTGTGTGCGTTTGTGTGCGCGCTCCTTTGGGGGATTGTGCGCTCCCTTTTGGGGGTCCCCGCGGGCGGAGCCCCACGCTTTCCCTGCCACCCGCCAGAGCTCCCCCTGCGGGAGGGGAGAAAGGCGGTGGAGAGCGGCCCGGGCCCCAGCCCTGTCGCTGACTTGCCCCTTGGGTGACTGTGTCCCAGTCTGTCAGCCCGCCCCACCGCCCGCTCCTCCTCCCCCCAAAAGGAAGGGGACAGGGTGCCGCGGTCTCGGGAAGGCTGTGCAGGGCACTGCCCTGGAGGTTTTCTGCTGCTCCCCTCCCTGGCTGGCTTTTCGGGGCTCCTCGGAACAGGGCACTGGCAAGTGACCCGGGCCTGCCCCGGGGACCCTAGCATCTCACTAAAGTTGGGGCTCCCATCCCTGCCGGCGCGGCCGCTCCTCTTGCCCAGACCTTCGCGGGGTCTGTTTTCCATCCCACAACTCGTGTGTGCGGATTACAGGTCACGTTCCTATTCTACTCGTTGAAAGAGTAACTTCCCTAATAAAAGAATAACCCCGCTCTTTAACCAGATCCCGAGCTGGAGTTCCAACCGTGCGGGACCCCCGCCGGGCCGGGTGGCCTGCGCACAGCGCCCAGGGCGTCGCGCGCCCGGCTTGCCAGGGCGGTGCGTCCCCGCGGGGCACACCCAGGACCTGCGAGCTGTCTCAAGGGCCTGGAGCGAGTGTGTGATGAGTCCTGCGAATGGAATGAGTGCCCGGGTGGGCCCTGCACCTGCTTACCGAAGGGGCCCACGCTCCACTCTAGCAACTGGTCTCCAGTGAGGCAGCTATGGGAACAACTAATCTCTCTCATTGCGCTGCGTCCCGTTGACTCATCCTGCCCGCGTACTCACAGGCCGCGCTGCTGCCCAAGTGCGCAAAAGGTTTTCAAAAACTGCGTTTTTCTTTTTTAACTCTGCCCTTAATGCCAGGAAAAAGTGAGCCAGGTTAGCAAATCAAATAATCCTGAAGCCGAGGAATGTTAAAAGGAACTTTTTTTTTTGCTGTGCGCTTAGTGGCGGTTATGTAATTCCCTTTGAACAAACAAATCTCCCCCAAAGAAAAGAAATGTGGAAGGTCCTTTTTCATGGTAGTGGGCATCGCAAAATGACATCGAGAAATGTGAAACAGAATTGCTGCTAATCTGTCTCCATTGGAGAGGTTATTTAATGAGTCTGTTTACGAGACCGGAATCCTTTTGGCAAAACTGTCTTATATTTGAAGAGGTCAGCAAACATTTAAGAGGTCAACAAACATTTAAGAGGTCAGCAAAATTGTATCCAAAAAGTACTTGTAAAATCCTTTAAAAGAATCTGATTGTAGAAGTGAAATGGGGATTCCTAAACTTGGGACACTGTTTCCAGGGTGGTATTGTGTAAGCAAGAAGTTAGTCACCGCCACCCCCCACCCCCGCCCAGTCTGGTTCGTGGTGCTTTGCAGACCTCTGGCCTTCATGTCCAAGCCCCCACCCCCTGACCCCGGAGAGACTTGGGGCTTTTGCTGGATAGGGTAACAAACCTGAGATTGTTTTTCTTGATGGGTTTGACTCTTTCCTCACACTCACATGCGGAGCCTCCTGTTGTCTTATATGAACATCTTTGACCAAGAAATGTGGACATAATGTTTTAAAATCTCTTATTCTCAATTACTGTATCATTTGTTTTAGTACCTTTTAGTGAACAGATGCCAACCAAATACAGCATGCTTAAAATCAGAGGGCAGAAATGGTCTTTTTTTTAAATGTTTTATATAATTTAGGTGTATTGGTTGCCTATCAGAAAGGAAAGATAGAGATGTGAAATTTCTGGCTTTGGTACATTATTGGTGGCAATCAGCTTCTGTTGGTTCTTCACCGAAATTACCATCTCCTCTGACCTGATCCTGTGCTGCCTAAGAATAAGGCAGTGCCTGCCACGTGCTCTATGCTCCGGGGAATATGTTTTTCTCTGATACTGCCATGATTGATTAGCTAACCCCCCTTTCATTAAGCTCTTACTTTTCCACACCATAGCAGACGACTGATGTGATGGATTTGTTGTCCTTCACTGAGACTGGATTTTGCCTTGTGTTATGTAGAAATGAGCTGGATGGGGACAATGAATTAAGGACATGTCACCTTATAAAATGACATGTATGACAGTCCTTCTTGAGAATTACTGAAGGGCCAGAGACATTAGTGAATGTAAACTCACTGACTGTATGTCTGCCTAATTTATTAATACATAGTTATTAGTTACCTTTGTTGAGAACACAAGTATACATTTTATTTGGATGGGAATTTAGGTTTTTACTAGTGATTTCATTAAAACCATATCTTAGGGCTAACTTAATTTCAGACGGTTGGGAGAAAGTATTCTTTTAGGAATGGGGACATAGGCAAAAACTAACCAATCAGACCATGTGACTTTTCAAGAATTTCAGACCTTAGTTGAGGTATACTAATTAATGGAATAGTCTAGAATGCAATTAAAAGTAAATTACCTTTGAGTAAAGTTTTAAAATATCTCCAAGTCCATTTAATGCAAAGTTTATTGGCTTACTTTTAGTTATCTGTTTGAGTATTTGTGAGATCTACTGCAGTAGTTCAACCCATTCCAGTATTCTTGTTTGAAAAATCTCATGAATAGGGGAGACTACAACCCATGGAGTCACAAAGAGTCAGACATGACCGAGCAACTAGGCACGCATGCATACAGCCACATCCCAGTAGTTGGTTATGGACACAGGATTAAATTTCCCACTAGATCTGGTAGGAACAGAGGCAGCATATTGGTGAGTTTGGCAGGACAGTAGTTAATTTTTATTTTTTCCCCTGTGGTGGAAATGCGTGTTTCTGTAGGATAAAATAGTCTCCAGTGACATGAAATGTCTAAACAGCTGGTGCCTTTGCGCATTGGCTTCATTCAGGAGTGTGCTTGTGTGAATATCAGTGGGAGTTTGTGAGTCACTTTCACCCGAGTGTGTGCTCCCTGGAGACATAGCTGGTATTCCCTTCTCTGCATAAATTTGTCATTACTTAATCAACTTATTAGAACATGAAATAATTTTAAAGATATTAATCGAAGTGGGTAACTTGAGCTTCTTGAATCCTGTTGACACCAAACATGCCGCTAAGTACGGGAGGCCTGCTCCTCCTGACCGTGAACTTGTGTGGCCACCTTGGCATTCTCTACCTTATCTCTCACGAGCTTGCAAAGATAGTGAAATATTAGCAGGTATGCTCTGTAAAAACAAGTTTAGGCTTCTGGGCACCCCCCCTTTTTTAAGGTTTCTAGGCTTTCAGCTAACCTGTTAGAAAGTTGTTTACATGCTTAGAAATGACAGCTTGAGTGATTATTTGCTACATTAAAATTTTCCCATTCAATTTGGGCTTTTTTTTAAGATGTTACTTCTGAGCTCTTCTTTAGTAGTTCATTAAGGACATTAAAATTCATTCTTGTCTGATGTAAGATGGAGAGGAGACCTCAGAATTTTATTCTTTTGTAATAATAGTTTTTCTTACTAATTTTTTAGCACAGTAGAGGAGTTGAATACTTCCCTGTTACAATAGCAGATAATCTTAGAGCACTGTAAGTATTCCCCAGTGGTCGTGTGATGGAGCTGAAGCTGATATGTGATTAAGTTCGGTGTGAAGGTGTTTGTACCAGGCTCGGCAGCCCGCGGCTCCACCTCTGTCGCTCCCTGCTGACTTTTCCTGGTGCCAGCGGATCAGATTATTATTAGGTAGGTCCAGGCGAGTGACACCCCCACGGGCATGCAGGTCTGGGTCTGGTGGCCTCTTTAATTTGGGACCTGGGGCGTGAAGTAATAATTTGTGAACACCTCTATGTGCTTCCATAATTATTAGGGAAGCAGCGATTGTGGGTTGTCTGCACACCAATGAGTACTTTAGGTTTCTAGGCCTTTTGTGCTTTGCTGTTAAATTTAAATTTGTAATTGGTCGTACGTTTTAAAAGTGAGCAGAGATGTTTGACACCAGAGTAGTGTTTAGATTGAAATTGTGCAAATTTAAAACATAGGAACACTTGATTGTGATGTAGGTCTGAACGAAGTAAAAGTGTTCAGTGTATTTACATGTGTATTTCCAGCACCCCTTTATTCTCTCCCCATCTGCATTTAATTGTGGGGTCTGTGGATTGTCTGTGTTGGATAATTTTAGTTGTAAATTTTTTTTCAGTTACTTTATACTGTAACAGAACATAGATTTGGTATTTCATGATTCACTTAAGGCTTTTATATATCTTCATCTTTGTATTTTTTTCTCCAGTTAAACTAGTTAATATTGATTTGTATTATTGACATATTGATGCTATACCTTCTTACTATTTTACAATTTTCATTTAAGTGAATTCCACCCCCCTCCACCTTATACCTTTATTTTCTCACTTTCACCTCATCACTGGAGTGTTCATCTTCCAGGACCACTTGCTGGCTTTCAGCACCTGAATTGACGACAGCATCATAAACTTTATCACTTTTCCTTCATGTTTCCATAATTCTTTATTTTTGATTCGTCTCTCCCAGCCATAGTATTCAGGGTTTTTCTCGCTTGTACTTTATATGGTTTCATTTGCTTTTATACAAAGCTAATGATGGTTAACTTTTTTTCAAGACCTGATGGTGTTTGTTCCTTTTTTTTTAAATTGAAATATACTTGTTTTGCAATATTGTTAGTTTCTGCTGTAAAATGAAGTGAATCAGCTGTTGTTGTTGTTCAGTTGCTAAGTTTTGTCTGACTCTCTGTGACCTCGTGGACTACAGCACTCCAGGTTCCCCCGTCCTTCACTATCTCCTGGAAGTTGCTCAGATTCCTATCCATTGAGTCGGTGATGCTACCTAACCATCTCATCCTCTGCCGCTCTCCTCTTTTGCCTTCAGTCTTTCCCAGCATGAGGGTCTTTTCCAGTGATTTGGCTCTTCACATCAGGTAGCCAAAGTATTGGAGCTTCATCAGCCATCCTACAAATGAATATTCAGTGCTGATTTCCTTGAGGATTGACTGGTTTCTCCAGTACCACAATTCAAAGGCATCAATTCTTTAGCACTCAGCCTTTCTTCTGGTCCAACTTTCACAACGTACATGACTACTGGAAAAACCATAGCTTTGATTATATAGACCTTTATCGGCAAAGTGATGCCTTTGCTTTTTAATACACTGTCTAGGTTTGTCATATGTACACATACATTCCCTCCCTCTTGGACTTCCCTCCCTCCCCCATCCCACCCCTCTAGGTCATCACAGAGCACCGAGCTGAGCTCCCTAGGCTGTGGAGCAGGTTCCTGCTGGCTGGCTGTTTTGCACATGTAGTGTATATGTCAGTCCCGCTCTCCCAATTCAGCCCACGCCCCACTTCCTCGCCTGCGTCCACAAGTCCATTCTCAAGTCTGTCTCTCTATTCCTGCCCAGCAAATAGGCTCCTCTGTACCATTTTTATAGATTCTACATATGTGTGTTAACATGTGATATTTGTCTTTGTCTTTCTGATTTACTTCACTCTGATAAGTCTCTAGGTTCATCCATGCCTCTACACGTGACCCAGTTTTGTTCCTTTGTGTGTGTGTGTGTGTGTGTTCAGTCACTCAGTCGTGTCTGACTCTGCAGTGCCATGTACTGTAGCCCCCCGGGCTCCTCTGTCCATGGAATTTCCCAGGCAGCAATACTGCAGTGGGTTGCCATTTCCTGCTCCAGGGGATCTTCCTGACCCAGGGGTGGAACCCGTGTCTCCTGCATTGCAGATTCTTCACCACTGTGCCACCATTCCATTGTGTATATGTACCACATCTTCCTTGTCTGTTCCTTTGTCCTGGAACATTTAGGGACCTAACGGTGTTTATTTATTCTAAACTAGA